TAACGTTATCTCTGACGGTTGCCTTTTAAAAGATTCAAAGTGACTTTTAACAAGACGCGTGAAATATCGATGTCTTTCATCAGTGTGATTTACTCAACAAATATCCGGGGGATTATTGGTAATTTGTTGATGCAAACAGAGGAATGGCGGGTGGTATCCCTCCCCGCGGGGAGTAAATGAAAAAGATTCGTTTCCCCAGGTCGATTTAATTAGTCCGGAGCCGGTGACAATTTATTTTTATTAGCCGAATATCGTGACGTAGGGTGAGTTCTACGCCCGTGCTGGATCCCACACTGCACCCTGTGGCAAATTCTATGGCAAATGTACCATACCACGGAAGATCAATATATAGACAGAAGTCCCACGGTGGCTTCCTCTTTCATTCGATGGCGGGACATTTTTAATCCGTCGCTCTGCTAGGTTAGAAACTCGCTTACATTAGAAAACCGATACAAAATGATGGAATGCCAGGGGTTGAAAATTTCTCTTTATTTTCTCATTTTCTTGTTACTCTTCGGGGAAGACTTTTGCTCGATATTTGTATATATGAAAATATCTTGGATCGATTGATAAATGATATTTTTGCTATATAATTTTATGTATTGAAAATGTATCACTAGCTATATACGGATTCCACATTTTTCGTTATAGATGATATTAAGGTATAGAAATGCAATTTTTCAAAATTTATAATATTTTTTTAACGAGAAATATTCATTAATTTCTCGTTAATAAAAAGCGATTTAATCATGTATATTTCTTCACTATACCGCAGCTTTCGAAAATATTGAAACTCTTACATTTGAAATGTCATATCTATATATTCATTGCTAAAAAACCATCAACAGTCATACAACATTCAAGTATTTTTCGAATTATTTTCATTTTTTTTTTTTTTAATTTCACCTCTCGCCACAAAACAATATTATTTCAAATAAATTAATTTAACATATATATCCAAAAGTTTTAATGTAAATGATGTATATTTTTTTCAAGACTGGAAAAATTAAATAGTACTTTATATATTTCTTGTAATATATTATAAAATAATTATAAAATATACATGCAATTTAAAAATTTTAGTGAACTGAATGATATGAGTATTAAAAATTAAAAGTGTCTTCAGTCTTTTCTGAAGAAATTCACATATTTCATTCATTTAATGTTACAAACGCACATATTCAAATATTCTTTTGAATTACTGCATATAACAGATGTACAAATAACATATGCATTATAATTAACATATTTAATTTGAGAATGCAACTTTTCACGATACTAATGGTTATTTCACAGAGCGAAGAGATGAAATTGCTGTTCGTAAATCGATTGAATTGAATATTCGGAGAGCTTTGTCACTGGCGATCATTAAGTAGAAATTAGTTGGTATGAAGAAGGGAAATTAACGAGGGGCGGGCATATATCTGCTCACCACGAGCAAGAACTGTTTGTTGTTTTACGATAATGTGCAATTACACGAATGGATAGAAACAGTGACCCGTGAGCGAGCACAATGCTCAGCCCCTTGCAACTTGTTGCACTTGATTCAACAGTAAACTAGAAATCGCATATCCGCGTAAAGTCCTTTATGTTCTTTGTGATATACCGTGAATCGTACGACGATCAAGCGCTGCGTGCATTCTTGTTAATACAGCTGCAGTTAATTGCAGAACGAACGTGGGAGATCCGCTTGCATCTATTAAATTGATCTCTCTTGTAAACGCTGCTGCTTTAGTGCTGTTATTTTATTTTTTAGTATATATTGTCTCGATGGAATTGTCAAAGCTCGTTGGTACGATGGCTTTCGTATTTCTTGATTTTGCAGTTGCATCATTGGATGCAAGAACGACCTCAGTGGTAAAAGTTAACTTTGAGGAAAACGTCTTTAAACATTTGGGAAAGAAATATTTCCTACGTATGATGAAGTTGTACAAATACTGTCTATAGAGTTAGTCTATCTCTTCATAGTTTCATCAGTTCAAGCTATGTATAATAATATATTAATGGATTTTAATTATAGTCCTTTAAGACTATAATTGCATGAAATGGTGATGTACAGAAAGTAGTATCGCTTTTTAACATATTATTTAATTTTGTTATTTAATAAGTATTAATAATATTAATAAATAAGGAATTCTTGTTTCTTTTTTTCTGATTCATTTGAACATTGCCTATTGTCCGAAAATTTTATTCTTCTTATTTATTATATTTAATAAATTTGTTCATAATCAGAAAAATTAAGAAAATGATTAGTCATATGCTATATATATATAATATATGTCCATTATTATTAATTATTATAATATATGTGATTATATATATAATTATTAAAAAATATATGTAAATCGTAGGTACTACATTCAGAATGATTAATGTTTAACTTATTTTTAAAAGAGTAAGAATCATTTAGTTAATTTACAAAATTTGTTTTTGTTTGTCAATTTCTTTCTAGATGCAAGAATGAAATCTACTGAGTATATATGGAAAAGAACATAGAATCTAATTGAACATTTTACTTGAAAATACTTAAATTTGTTCTTGCAGACAACAGTACAAGTTGAAATGATAAACTACATAAAAGAATTTTTAACAGACGATACATTTCTATTAATTTTGATGCTTGTATCATTTATCATTTGAATTATTTTAATTTGGAATTTTTTTTTTCAAGAAATCATATGAATAGTTTACTGTAGAAATAGTGTAAGCTTTGATGATCTGATCTAGAAATTTTTTGATGTTTTATATAGATTATGTCTTTTATATAGAAATGTAAGGTATAACTTCACAGTGATTCATATAAAAGAGATGAAATATTCTTTCTCACTTATTACATTTTACAGAATTTTTATATTTCGTGCCTCATTCATAAATTAACTTTTTGACCACTTTTGCAGTAAACGGGCATTTGTATTGTCACGAGTATACGATATCGCATGCTCGTGACAAAAGTGGAACAACTCGAAAAAGTATGTTTTCCACGAGAAGCGAGAAACAGTTATATAATTGTAATTAGTAGATTGCGAATGTTTATGCAATTTTACATTTTCATGAGGATAATTGGAAAGATGGAACTTAGACAGAAAATTAATTTATTTATTTTTAGTTTGTAGTATTTTATACATTTTTCCATGTTACTTGCATTGTATTTTGCATCTTCAAAGTTTTCATAAATCCATAATTCGCAGTCTAGTAATTAAACATTGTTTTGATACATCATTAAAAAGTAACGAGAGTCAAAATTTTTCACTTTTTTCACACAAATAAGAGTCAAAATGAAATTCACAATTAGACTGTGGAAGTTAATTCAATTTCAGATTTTTTTTTAACAATGCAACTAAAGAAATTGAATCTAAATAGAGATTTGTTCTACTATTAAATATCATAATTAATGCTTTATTATAGGTATATTGTATATTTTTACATTATTATATATTATTACATTATTCTGTATATTTTCGCACTTTTAAATTTTCTATAAAAAATAAATACATAAATATTCGCAGTTTATTCATAGTAAAAAACGTATTTATACAACATATTAGAGATTTATCGTTCAAATCTTGTCAATATATTTTACAAACTATAAATGAAAATAAGAGTAAAATGTTGTGCAGCAAAATATGCTATATCATAAATTCGTTTCATTAAAAGTTAACAAAAATACGAAATGTAACAAATATGTTAATATTTTTTCTTTTAGTATTTTTTCTTTCTATTAATTTTATATGTATGTTTATATAAAATGTGTTGTTCATGACATCTTATTATACTGATCTATACTGATATATATAGATCACAAAAATCTATATATGATATAGTTTACTTATGGTGGGAAGTAAAAGTTTGTAATATAGAAATATCTTTATCTATAGAAATATTCATCAAAATCTTATCATTAACATATTTAATCAAAATCTGATCTAGAATAGCACGTTAGTATCAACTTTGTGTTAACAAATGTATTATACATGACATTTTGAAACACGCCTAGTTTTACGTTTATGAATTTTCTGCTACATGACAATTTTTACTTATAGAACACACAACGAGTTTGAGCATTAAATCAGCATAGTATTACATAAGTAAAACAGAGCAACACAATTGCTCTCTATCAATTATATTAAGTTAAACGAACAAGATTTTTATAATTGCCATTGAGGAGCGTTTCTCGCGAACATTCTCGAAATGTAGTGATTTGAAAATTTAATTGTGTCATTATTGTCGCTAGTGAGCGATATACGTAGTCAAATAAAAGAAAAAGAAAGAAGACAATGGATATTGTGGACTAACCAACGTTATTTTTATTTCTTTTTTTTTTTCAGTCGAGTGATTCCGGTGGTTTTCGTGCACGCAGATCACCCCAGACAGTCGCAATGGCTACCCTATCCTTGCGTATCTCCATTCCGGAGAAAAACGCCACGAAGATGATGCAATTCGACCCGAGCACATCCATTTACGACGCTTGCCGTATTATCAGAGAGAAGCTCGCTGAAGCGAGTAACATGGGCCAACGTAAGCTCCTACTTGCACCTGAAATATTCAATGACGCTGTACTAACGAACACGCGAATTTACATTTTTCTCTTCTCTGCTCTTCCCTTTATTTTGTCCGGGAGTATTTTACACATCAATGTCAGCGTTAAAGATAAAATTCGTGACTAAGAAAAACGATTTTATCATGTTGATCGTGTGGAAAATTCTACGCCTAAGTTCTACTTGCTTATAACTTTATCTAAAGATTTCTATAAATTGTTGCTTCGTGAAATCTTTGTCCATTGTATCCCCCAAAACGTCCACAATCCCTGTTCACATGCAAGTTCTCAGACTTTTTGAAAAAATGAAATATTTCATCTACTAAGTTGCTCTGTTAAGATCCTGACGATTTTCTGAAGATTTCTACAAATTATTGGCTAACGAAACTAACAAAAATCTTTGGCCAATTGTACTTGTCGATCATGTGAAACTCTCCAACCTCTCGAAAAAAACTTTAAGGAACAGTCTTCCTGAGAAAAGGAAAGGTTAAAAATAAAAGTCGATAAAAATTCTTTTGAAATTCCTAACAAATAGAGATGAACCACCATGCAAAATGAAGGGGAAGCATATAACGAAGGGGAGAGGGGTGACGGGAGGGAGGGAGGAGGAAAACTCGTCTAAAAGCTAACGAGTCCAAGAGAATTCCACGCATAACCGTGTTGTAACGATGGTAATGACCGCGTTCTTTTCTTGCATCGACAGCGAAGGACTACGGATTATTCCTTGCCGACGAGGACGTGAAGAAGGGAGTTTGGCTGGAGCCAGGCCGGAATCTCGATTATTACATTCTGAGGAACGGCGATCTCCTCGAGTACCGGCGTAAACTGCGGACCCTTCGTGTGCGCATGCTGGATGGAACGCTGAAGACGTTGCTGGTGGATGACAGTCAGCCGGTCGCCAATCTCATGGTAGTAATTTGTACGAAGATAGGCATCACGAACCACGATGAGTACTCGCTGGTGCGCGAGCTGGCCGACGAGGAGACTGAAAACCAGAAGCCGGGCAATTTCGGCACCCTCACGCTCAGGAGGAGGAAAGAGGAGAAAGGCGAGCGGGACGCGAAGATGGATCAGTTAAGGAAGAAGCTTAAGACCGACGATGAAGGTGAGCAGCAACGAGCCTTGATCTAGCCGCGATAAAAAAATTCGGAATTATTGAACGGCCATGAGGAATTTAATGCTTGCGGCGAGATACGCGGGAAAGAAGTAATTCTACGATTTTCTAATTGTCAACGAATTCGCAGATCACGTTGACAACTAGGTCTTCTTCAATAACAGATCCCAGAATACAAATATTAGAGCTTAGCATTCTTAAATCTTGGTTTGATCTTTTTGTGAATTAAAAATGCACAATTAAACAAGAGCATAATTGATTAAACGTATTAAAGCCATAGTATTGTTACCTTTAATTTTCTCATTATATACCCAGAAAAGTTTCTATCAGTGCCTTTTTGTTTATTACAAAAATAAATAAATATGTACATATATATATATATAATTCATGTAGCGATTGGCCATCATATTCGTATAAAGCAGTCTGCGGGGAAGACAGTGCAATATTTATAATTCAATTAGTGCGATATTCAACAAAAAGATCAGTACGCCGTGCGAATCAGTTGTAAAATATACAGTCCACTCATCACGATCTCCTATCGGAATCGTTCCATTTCGTATCATTTCACTATACTTTACCACACCAGTCAGCATTAAAATTCAAGCTCGAACCGGATTCTTATTGCATCGAATATCAATAATGGTTCATCGATAACCATAACAATGGCAGAGGTTAATGTTAAGATGTATGAAGAATTTACATACAATAGAAACATTTTAGTCATTGTAAATCAGAATCATATTATCAAATATTTTAATTAAAATCAATGTAAACGAATGTTACAAACATCAATTTTAGTTATTTATAACAAGAAATGTTCATTGATTCAGTTTTTCTCAATATATATAATTTTGCGATCAAAGTTTTCAACTTGAATAACTCATCGATATTGATCCTTATGATCTTTGACCTTTTGTCGACCAGGTTATCGGCAACTGATTGACAATGTATTTTCGTTGTACTTTGTACAAAATTTCGAAATATTTTTTTTATTGAAGCAATTTTAATTTTTGTGAGGAAATTATTTCGCAGAATAGTAGATATTACATGGGTAATGATATATTAGATGAAAGAATTAAGATTAACTTATAGATTAATTAGTTTTTTTACAAATGAATATTTCAAGATTTTATAATCAAGGTCAATATTTGTTTTTAATTAATTAAAACAAAACAAGATATTGGTTAATATTTATAATATCTACTTTTTGCCCTAAAAATCTCACAGATTAAATTTAATATAGAATAAATTAGAATAAAAGAGAATACATTTTCGTATCCTGAGCTAACTTTACACACCTTTTATTGTAAATCTCGGATTCAGATCATGTTCAAATATAATTATTTCTTCAGAAGAAGGCATATTTTACAAAGTAATTGATTACTCTGTATAAAATATCTTTACATTATAATATAAATATGAATAATGCCCGTATGCACGTCGAACTAAATTAATGAATACTTCATGTTCATGAGTACAGATTATAAATAAAGATGATTTATAATTTTAAAAAAATTGTTTAAACTAGTATTAATTATAGAAAATGTATCTTCTATATACTTAAATGCAATGAGGAGATTGCAATTATAAGTTCTTAATTCAATTATACTCTTCTCTGTATATTTTTAAAATTAATATTTTTTTCTAACCAATCGTTGCATGTAAATTATGCAATATATGATTTTGTTGTTCCAGTGAACTGGATAGATCCCAGTAAAACGTTGAGGGAGCAAGGAATAGACGAATCAGAAACAGTGCTGCTGCGAAGAAAGTTCTTCTTTTCAGATCAAAATATCGACAGCCGAGATCCGGTGCAATTATCTCTTTTGTACGTTCAAGCAAGAGACGCAATTCTAGATGGCACGCATCCGGTTACTCAGGAAAAAGCTTGTATTTTTGCCGGAATACAATGCCAGATCCAGTTCGGTGATCACAAAGAAGACAAGCACAAGCCAGGCTTTCTCGAGTAAGTTTTCGGATAAGAAATATTGATTTCTTCCGTTTCTACTTATTGCTGTATATTTTTAACAATAACTGTACAAGCAATTAGGATAGGAAGATTAGGACATCGACATTTTCATACAAATCGCTTTCATATTTTTTTGTTTTCTGTTTTCTTAACAAATGAGCTTTTCTTGACTCTCTCTCTTTTTTCCTTTTCTTCTGCTACTAACTCTTATCCATCTGTGTCGATTTATTCCTTTAAAATTAAGAAATACCCCAAGGTCAAATGAAATATAAAAAACTTCTTCACGAATATATGATTTTACAATTAAGTTTTATGTTGAAAACGTAAATTTATTTCATTTGCTCGAATAAGAATTAGATCAAAATATAAAAATATAGGGATCGTAGCAGGTAATTAATACTATTGAACAAATTGGAATTCAGTGTTACAATTTGGTTTTAAATTACTTAATTTTGGAATCTTTAGTTTATTTTAATTTTATTACTAATTTGTAAATGCAATATGATTTATTACCGATTTAAAAATTCTAAATATAGTTAAATAAAGAAGAAAATTTAAAAGGCAAATGATACGCGATAATTTGTAATTTTATAAAGTGAAATTATACTTAACAGAAACGATGAATAGATTGTTATTAATGTTGATAAAACTTATTCATTTTCGTACACATACATTCCAATATCATTTGAACATTTTTAAACCTTTTTTTTATTCGCCATTAAATAAAATCAATGTCTTAAAGTAAAATATTCAAAATTTTAATGGATTTAATTAGAATAATTTAACAAAAATTTTGGTAATTGTACTTGATTCTTTATGTTCAGAATTAAATTATTTATGACTTCCCTTACTAAATTTTTATATTTGATAATTTTTGGCATATTGCGAGCACACGGAAAAGGAAAATAAATTTTATAATAACTTGATGTATTGAGTTCAAAGTGATATTTGTAAATATCGATAAGCTTGCGACTGCAATCAGAAAGAATACTATACAAAGTATAGAAATATATGAATATTCTCCTCCTTAGCCTATTGTGAGGCATCTTCCAGCAACTTACAAATATTCATTTCACATACTTTTTTGAATACAAGAAATCGTCATATTGAAGTGATGTAAACGTTCATATAAAACGTACTTTTAAGTATTGTCAAAATAAAGGGTTAAAAAAGATAATATTTCACGCATAATTTATCAGTTTATTTGTGCAAAGCAATTAATTCTTTTACAATTAACTCTGAAGAAAATCCTTCGGATTAATAACCAAAATTTTTCTTTAACATTTAATTCTCTAGCCTCAAGGAATTTTTGCCGCAGTCCTACTTGAAGGTGAAGGGCATCGAGAAGAAAATTTTCGCAGAGCATAAGAAGCACATCGGCCTCTCTGAGCTTGACGCCAAAGTGCTGTATACGAAAACAGCGAGATCTTTGAGCACTTACGGCGTCACGTTCTTTTTAGTGAAAGAGAAAATGAAGGGAAAAAACAAACTGGTGCCTCGTTTGCTCGGCGTCACCAAGGACTCTGTCTTGCGACTCGACGAAAAAACGAAAGAAATCTTAAAAACCTGGCCGTTGACTACCGTCCGACGTTGGGGAGCATCTCCTAACACGTTCACGCTCGACTTTGGCGATTATTCCGATCAGTATTACAGCGTACAGACCACGGAGGCAGAACAGATTCTTCAATTAATCTCTGGCTACATCGACATTATTCTCAAAAAGCAAAAAGCTAAAGATCACTTTGGCATCGAAGGAGATGAAGGTTCAACAATGGTCGAAGATAGTGTGTCGCCTTTGAAGTAAGTGTTGCAGTATGCGTACTAATTTTTAGTCCGTGTATTAATTCTGTTAATTGAAGCGACGGTGGATGGTTTATTAGGACAATTATCGAAGTTGATAGGCCAAGTCTCGGTTTGTGAATCTCTAATATCTCTCATTGAGCATCGAGTTTTCCATCGCGAGTAGAGTTCTTTTTTGGACAGCGACTATTTTTGTTCTTTTAGTATTTTATTATTTCCTGCATTGATGAGAAAGTAGCATCATGGAGGAGTTCTTGAGACAAAAACTGAAGGATTATGTAGAAGCGAAGAAGAGAGAAAAATATTTGCAGTGAATTTCTCAATTAAATATCAAAATTGTATACATATTGTTTCGCATTGAACGTACAGTATTGTTCCTTCTTTTACAGAGCAACAATCATGCAACACGAAACGAGCAACGTTGGCAAAGGAAACGTGGAAGCTGTGTCAGTTGCCATACCAGCAGTTATGAGAACCGGTGCAGATGGTAAGAACTTTCAAAACTGTTTCCAAGCTGAAATTTCGCGAACTTCAAAATCAGTGTCTTGTATCATTTACACACTTTCAGAAATATCAAAATGTGATTCTCATTATTAAAGAGAACAATCAAAAATATATATATATATTAACGTATCATTAGCAATTTTTAACAAATAAAAGATAAGACACTGTATTTTGACTTTGTTATTCATCGATTTATACGATGTGTAACAAAAGTAATATCGTGTCTTCCGCGCTGGACTGAGAAATATTTCTAATTCTTGCTCCGATGAAAATTATTTCTTAAATATTTAAATCAGTTATTCAAAAGCTATATATATATATATATATAAACATAAATTAGTAGACCAGTTGTTATTATTGAAAATGTTAACTTTATCCTTCCCAAGCTGTTAAAGCAGTGAAAAGACATGCAGAAGCTTTAGAGATCCTTGCACGATTGTCTCCTCAGTTGTTCTCCAATCTTTTTAATAATTTTGTACATTTTTAACAAGAATTTATTTATTCATTCTCCTCGGTTGATTTTCGTTTCTTATAATTATCTTGTATATACGTACACATTTAAACAAAAAAAAGAACTTTATTTTTTTTGCTCTTCGTTGCGTATGTACCAAACGAGACATTTGACGCTTATTCGTGAGAAACGTTCTTGCTTTGCAATTTGCGGAGCCGATCTGTGTGCGTGTCCAAGCTTCTTGTCGGGCGATCAATCGATCCGTGGATCGATCCCTGTAAATACTACTCGGATAGTTGCATGATACGGTTTGTAGGGGCTCGACCATATGGGACCGGGCACATGGGCGGTGCTCAATACACGACTGTCAGCGGCCAGGTGAACATCGCTCACGCTCCACCGATGGTAAGATTTATCAAAGGCACGAGTTCCTGCTCACGTTGAATTTTCAATGTTTCCTAATTGGCATTAATATGACTCTTATCGATATTCAGACACTGTGATGATTCGAAAGAACAAAGTACAAAGATCATTGCTCTCTGTATTTGTTTGCAACGATATTATCGACATTGATTGTTTTCTAATATGTTAAAACAGATTTTTAATTAGTAGAAATATAAATTTTAGTTATTTAGTAGGCAATGCTAGTTGAACTATACTGTACCATACATGATTTCGATTAGTATCATCTAATCAATCGGTTTACATTTTCTGTAAGTAAGTAACATGTGAAAGACAGTGACTAGAATCGTTACAAATAATTTATCCTTTCGTTGGCCAAAATAATCATTTTAAGACGTCGAAAAACAAGTACTTAATGAACATGAATTTTACATGGGTATAAATAATATGCAATATAATATAATTTGAATAATTATTCTATAACTAGATAAAATAATTTTTTTAAAAATATTATATAATAAAACAATAATAAAATAGTAAAATTACAAACAAATATGTGGAGAAATAGTCCTTAGAACATCTCTGAATGTTAATAAGAGTCCTGCACATATATTAAAGAATATCTTGCGAAATAAATTCTTTCTGGAGTGACACTGATCATTCGCTTGAGCAAGAGCTATCGAACTGCTTTGTTATAGCATTAGTTAGTAGTATCATTTTTTTGTATGAATCGCAGCGAATATCGACGGTACATTTAAGTTCGAAACACCAACAATATAAATAAATAAGATGATTTCGTTGCATCGAAACAATCCCGTGAAAGAACTAATTGACGGTTAAATTTGTTTTCATGCTAGGCACCTTCTATTGCGGACACAGAGTAGGTACTCGATGATAAAACCTTTAGTTATACGTTATTGGCTATTAAATAAGTTTCTGTTACGTCGTTCGAATTTTTAATTTTATTAACTTTTATTTTTGTGACTAAAATTGTGGCTAAAATCCACCGAGATGTAAAGTATTTAGGTCGTTCGGGAAGCTCTGTCGGATTTTGATGTCTGAAATGTAAATAATTATAAATCTTCATGCATAATTTAATTTTTAAATGCTTATTCGAAATAAGATCCATTATAGTTAACATACCTTTGCCAACCTTTTGTTAATCTTTAAAAACTGTCATAAAGTCACGTTAATGAGTTGAACATTGCTTAGTTCTAGAATTTTTCAGAGATAATATAAAATGCAAAAAAAAAAAAAGAATTAAATCTTAAATTTTTGTAATATGAAAGAAATTCTTATAATCATATAGTCTTATGATACTACTTAACAGTTAATTTATTTGTGGCATCTATAAAAAAATTATTCGGTCTGATATCAATAAAGTTCATGAAAGCTTATACCGCAAGACATTCATTTCGAAATGTTTATAATGGATCTTATTTTGGATAAATCATTGATAAAACCATCCAAATATTTAAATAGGTGATAATTAATAATTAATAATTAAGCAAAAAGTTAGGAAAATAATATGGATATTGTGCAGAGTTCCATTTTTGCATTTGTAATTATTAGCACATGCAGTCAGCTGTCATGTAAAAGAATCGGTCTCTTTCTATTTACTATGTCATGTGGAACGTACAGTTTATTGATGCCAGATCACATAATATTCTTGCAGGTGACATAAATAAATTTATTAATGAAATGTTGGCTGTAACGGATCTTATTTCAAATAAATATTTAATTTATATTTAAACTACTAACTTATAATCATTTAATACAAATATAAATTGTTTATATAAATACAAATAATTTATAATTATTTAAATTCAGACGTCGAAACTCGATCGAACTTCCTGCAACAAGCACTTGTATGGAATTTAATTTGTTCATTGAACGAATTCTCTATCGTAAGAAATTTCATTCTCTCGTTATCCGTCATTGAGGAATGAGTAGTTGCAATGACTTTATTACAACGGATGGAAATTTGAAAGCGTGAAGAGATTCGGCAAGAAGATCGAGCATTTTCAAATCTCCTCGAACGCAATAAATCACAGTCACACGTATATATACATATATATTTATTAATCGATTCTTATAATGTAAGTCTAATCGCAACCAGGTGCAACAAACCAAGGTCACATCCGTCCTGTCTGAACCACAACGTGCCTTACTATCGACTATCACCGCTGGTCACGAGGTGATCCACATCGCGGAGACCGAGCTATCCTGCAAGGCTCAGCTTCCGGAGCTGGGTACCGATCCAGCCTCGTTGAAATGGATCGAGCAGACGATCGATACGCACAAGCAGAATGTTGGCTCTCAGATCGCGGCGATGAACGCCGCGACCGCTCAGGTAGTCACTCTTACTTCCGGTCCAGCCGATGATGTCGATCACACAGCGGTGGGTGCAGCTATCACCACCATTGCCACCAATCTCCCAGAGATGACGAAGGGCGTCCGAATGATCGCCGCCCTGATGGATGACGACTCTTCGGGAGACAAACTGCTGGATGCAGCGAGGAAGCTGTGCTCTGCCTTCTCTGATTTGCTTAAGGCCACGGAACCTGAAACTAAAGAGGTATGGTATTTACGTGGTATTTTTTTCATGGCAAGTGTCGGGATATTTGTATGGATTCCATTTATTTGAACTAAATTGTAAACAATACTCGATTAATCCATTAAGGACCAACGTTGCGTTCAATTTGTATTATCAGATTCTATTTTTCAGAAGGTATTTCTTTTTCCATTTGGATTTTACAGTTATCTGAAATTTTAAGAAATTGAAGTGCTTACTTGATGCTTGATGGGTTCAATGAATCTATTTGAATTTAAACTCTTATTAGATGAGCGAAAAGTCACTTAGTAGACAGGGGAATCAATGGATTCCGATTATGTGAACTCCAATTATGTAAACTACTTGTACAATTTAAATGTATTAACACTTACATGATAGTCGTATATTCACTTTTAGAAGTGAATATAATAAATTTTTTTCTTTAGTGATTTTGAACAGTGTCGCAATTTTTAATATTTCTCAAGGATCTCATAATAACTCATGTCATGGATATTTTCCTGTCATTAATCATAATACTATAATATACGTATGTACAATGAAACGTGAATTATTCGAATACAGAATGAACCACCAAATTATGTTCATATTTAACAATAACATTTATATTTCTTTCTGCCACAAATGTCCCATTTTAGTATGTCATCTAAGCTTAATACGTACGTACAGATTTTATTTATACCATGAATATCAAAAAAGAAAAAGAATTATATTAAAATCAGAAGCTTATATAAAGAGTAACAGTGCATCTAATTTATCTAGAGAATATAATGTTGAGAAGTTTATAATTCGTGATGTTAAAAATAGTGAATTAAAATTTCAAAAAGATTTAGATAATGAAAAGAGTTTTCGTTCTCGTAGAAGTTTGAAAATAGTAAATGATGGTATGGACTAAAATGTATCTTGCAGTAATGTACTATTGTTAGATCCATTAATTGAAAGAGAGCTCTTGAATTGAATGCAAAATACTAATAAAAGCTTTAAAGCAACTATTAATTATTAGAATATATATCTAATAATTAGACTGCGAATCTTTGTGCAAATTGACATTTTTGTAAAAATAATTAAAAAGGAAGTAATTAAAGCAAAGGAAATGATTAAATTCTAAAATCTAGAAATTCGTTATGAAATATTACTAAATATTTACAAATATTTACGTTGTATTAAATATTGTAACAAGTACTATATTTTGGATTTTTTTATACCTTTTCGCGTGTTATGAGCATTTACATATTTTTGTGTTTTAAAATTTTTTTGTGAATGCATAAAAATTCAGTCTAATTATTAGATATGTATTCTTTTACGTATCCATATTTGAAAATCTAATCTAATCTTTAGTTGATTTATTCTAGCTCACAAATTTGAGATCGAAATTTTCTAAATTATAGAAATTATAATCTCTTGAGTTAACATTTAGCACTTCAGTAGTATACAATTAATGGTTATCTTTTAATCAAATTATCGCTTCTTTATAAAATATAAATATCAATATATAAAGATCTGGATTTAAATAGACACACTGATGACTGTTCGCATAATTTTTTTACCGACAATCGGTGGGTAATTTTTAATTAATATCGTTGAGTTGAATAGTGTTTCAATCATTTTAACTATTCACAGTTATTCAGATAACAATTTAAGTTAGATTTGAGAAAATTTAATAAGAAATTTAATAAGAAATTTTAAACTATTTAATAGTGACAAGAAATATTATGAATTAATAACGATTTTCGATTGCATTCCTTAATTTTGGAGATTTTTACCTTAAATTGTACCTTTTTGTGCAGCCTTTCTACGTAGCGCTATCTTCCTACGAACGATACGTAAGCACAAATATTAGAGAACATTGTAGAACGTTGCAAGTTATTACAATTCTCACTTTCTTTGATCCTTCAATTCATTAAACATTTTTCTACTTATGGTTCATTTTAAATCATACGCATAACGACTTGACTTGCAGCTTCTTTTGGAATACTTTGGCATTGTTTAACGAATTTTTTCATTATAACGATGGAAGTTAGTTTTTCTTTAATTTAGGATGAAAATGAAACAAAATATTTTCTTCTTCTTATGTTGTAATGAATGTTTCTCGCTAAATACATTGCAGATAAATTGCAAGATCCTAAATGTCACACATAAAAAAATAGAAAATAGTCAAACATTTTGCTTCAAACGCGTCTATTTATTTCGACCAATATATTGCTTAATATCGTTATTAAACTCGTTGTGTATAACTGTTTTCTTTATCTTACTCTAGCCAAGACAAAACTTGCTGAACGCCGCATCGCGTGTTGGCGAGGCCTCTCACCAAGTGCTGACAACGATTGGAGAAGAGAACGACTCGAACCGAGAACTTCAAGACATGCTATTGGCCTTGGCTAAGGCCGTAGCCAATTCGACCGCCGCTCTGGTGCTCAAAGCGAAAAATATCGCGGCTACTTGCGAAGATTCTGCAACGCAAAATCGCGTGATCTCAGCCGCTACCCAGTGTGCCTTGGCCACGTCGCAGTTAGTTGCCTGCGCGAAAGTTGTAGCACCAACTTTGCACTCTCCAGCTTGTCAAACGCAGTTGATGAACGCGGTGCGTGAAGTAACGAAAGCGGTCGAAGGTCTGTTGGAGGTCTGTAACGAGACGTGCAGCGACGAGATCCTGCTGAAAGAACTGAACGCTGCTGCCACCGAGGTTAAATCGCGTGCCAGGGAAGCTTGCGGTGGACTGGAACTAGACGCAGCCGAGGAATTGATCAACAGTTTGAAAGACGAGTTACGAGAGTTTTACGGGGCCGTGGAGGCTGCTTCTCTGAGACCTTTGCCCGACGAGACGCCGGAGTCTACTGCTCTTCGACTAGGCGCCACGTCGAAGAACGTGGGATTCGCGATGGCTCAGCTTCTGTCCGCCGCTAAGCAAGGGAACGAGAATTACACCGGCAGCGCAGCTAGAAAGACAGCGGCTGCTCTTAAAGATTTAACTTACGCTGTCCGTGGCGTGGCTGCAACCTCGAGCCAACCTGAAACTCAGAAGAAGATCTTGATGACGGCCGATGATGTTATTCTAAAGTCGTTGAGATTGGTTAAAGAGGCCCGAAGGGCTCTGAAGAATCCCGATAGTGCGGAGAACGAAGCTAATCTGGCCGCAGTTGCCAAGGATGTGTCGAACTCCTTGAACAAGTGTATATCCTGCTTACCAGGACAAAGAGACGTGGACGATGCGATTAAGAATATCGAAGACATGACTCAAGTCCTAAGCATGAACGAGTTCCCGCAAACCAATAAGAATTATGGGTATGTATATTGTTCTTATTGATAAGAAGCTTGTTATCAAGTGGCACACCGATAGTTACCGGTTACGTTTGTCTCATTTCGCTTGCCACTTAACATTCATTGATACACATTTGAATCTTCAAAAATATTGACGAACAATGACAATTTTTAATAGCGTTGAACATTTAGCATACTAAAAACTATATAAATATCATTATAGATATAAATATTATATTTATTTAAATTATTTTTATTTTTTTAACACTTTAATTTATTAGTATTTTTTACACATGTTACAGTTTCTTTGTTAATTCAGACAATGATCGTATAATATTATTTATTAACAATTAACGTTTTGTTCCAAATTTTTATTTTATTATTACTTAATAGATACACAAACAACCAATTTTTTTTTTCAGACAATTGCAAACCGATCTAAACAACGCAGCTGTAAATTTGAACGATGCTTCTACGAACGTAGTATCGTCAGTACGTTCGCCAGTACAGTTAGCTAGTTCTTCCAAGCAATTCACCAACGCCTTTGGAAATCTGTTGGGCGTGGGAATGGAAATGGCCGGTCAAACAACTAGCGAAACTCGAAGTCAGGTGGTAGTCTCTTTGAAGAACGTCAGCATGACGTCCAGCAAGCTTTTAGTAACTGCCAAATGCGTAGCAGCCGATCCAAGTGCTCCAAACGCAAAGAATCAGCTGTCGGCAGCTGCACGAGCTGTGACAGATTCCATCAATTATCTCGTCGACGTATGTACCTCAGCTGCACCTGGACAAAACGAATGTGACAATGCTATCAGAAATATTCAATCGATGAGCTCGCTCCTCGATAATCCTAGCCAACCGATTTCTGACGCGAGCTACTTCGAATGTCTTGAAACTGTGATGGAGAAGAGCAAGAGCCTCGGCGATGGAATGACAGGCATAGCCAATCATGCGAAGAAATCAGAGCACGAACAGTTCTCAGTAGCAGTCAGAGGAGTCTCTTTGTCAATCTGCGGATTAATAGAAGCAGCAGCTCAGGCTGCTTATCTTGCTGGCGTGAGCGATCCAACGTCGGTGCCTGGGAAACCGGGCTTGTTAGACGAGGCTCAATTCCTTAGAGCCGCACAGGCCATTCATACTGGCTGCCAAAG